GGAGGGAGGGGGGGGGGAGGGGCTGAAACCGGTGTATAGCGGGGTCACCTTCCCTCCCGCCCACACGCCCAGTGTACAGCGAGCGCCGCGCAGCCGGGGCAGAACCAATACGAAAACGCGCCGCCGCGCCGCCCTTTTAGCAGAGAGAGAACAGCGGCAAGGAATTTGTTTTATTTGCCATCTCTCCCGTGTAACAGCAGCAGCAGCAGCAGCAGGGGCCCGGGCCGTGCCGAGCTGCTGCGAGCTCAAAACGGCGCCGCCGAGTAAAGAGACCGCAAGCAGCAGTGCTCGAGTGGTGGAGGTGGCGCGGGGCGGCGGCCTTGCGCCAGTGCGGGCGGGACAATTACTGACTAAGGGCTAAATAATCTGCTGTTGCTGCTCCACTGCGCAATGCGGATAGAGGCGAGGGGGTTGGGGGGAGAAGCGTGGAGGAGGAGGAGGACAAGGACGAGGAGGACGCGGAGAGTCACAACGCGCACGACAAAGCGCCGCGGTCGCACGGCGGCGGCAGCGCGGGACGGGTGGCGCGGGTGGGAGCGCCGTGCCGGGTAGGCAGCCGCCCGACCAGCGCCACACGGCTGTCGGCGTGCGGCCCACCTCCCAGGCGCTCTGCCCGCCCTGCTTGCTGCTGCTTGCGCTTGCTGCTCCCCGTCGCCGTGATCATAGTGCCCCACTGCTCCACTCACTCACTCTATGTCTGTCTGTCTCTCTCTCTCTCTCTCTCTCTCTCTCTCTCTCTCTCTCTCTCTCTCTCTCTCTCTCTCTCTCTCTCTCTCTCTCTCTATATATCGGGTCGTGGGATTGGATGGGGCGGGCGGGTTCGGGCGGGGCCGAACAGCAAAACAAAACAAAAAAAAAAACCCGTGTGTGCACAGTAGGGGCGGGGCCCGGGCGGGGCGGCGGGCGCCCCGAATCAGGTTGGCGGGGCGATCCAAGCCAAAAGAGGGGCGGCGCGGGGTTGGGCGGGGCGCCCGCTCAACAAGTCGACGGGAAAGGTGCTGCCGCCCCGCACAGAGCGGAGGGATTTACGGCGGACAGAGCTGCTTTTTGTTTGTTATTTGCATTACGTGGGGCGGACGCGCATGGCGCACGTTTCGTGTAGGAGAATTAAATTTTATCCCCACGCTTTTATTATCTCGTCCAACAATCGTCCGAGCGACCAAAAAAAAAAATGATAATGAGTGAGGTGGGTGGTGTGGGTGGAGAAAAAGAGAGAGAGAGATACGAGCAGGAGGCAGAGCTCGGACTTTTGGCGCTTGCCGCCTGCCTGCGTCCGCCTGTGATCCAGGCGGGGCCGCCTGCCTAAGTGGACGTGGTGGGGGGGAGGTTC